TTCCAAGAATGATTTTTTTTTTTAATTGACATAGCCATTTTAAAAAAGAAATCAAAATAAAAACTCTGCTGCTTAATAAAATGATAGCATAGCACAACAGTTCAAAGCTATTAAAATCTGTTCAAGAACCTGCCCCGGAAAGGTAAAATTACGAAAGCAATGTGCTCAAAAAGCTACGACAAAAAAAGCAGCAGAACTTCCACTGAACCTCATGCAACTAAAGAAAGGAGATTGTAAATTATTGCGTATATACTCAAGCTAGTTCAGTAAGTATACGAATCTATTTAAAAAGTTTAATTTGGTTTTTTTTGAACATAAAAGTTTTAAAAAGAATAGTCTAAACTAAAAAGCCTGACCAGTTGAGTAAATGTGGGGCAAGTTTTGTTGAAAGCATCCAATAGTGCCGACATTTGTTGAAAGCTGAAATGCCAACTTGAAATTGATATCTTTTATTTTTAAAATTTTTAAAAAATTTTCATTTTTTAAAAATATCGAAATTACAAAATCTCGAAATATTTTAATATTCACTATTAAAAAGCGATTTTTATTGGAATTGCGTGACACCTGTATTTCAAAAATTTTGGATGAAATCAAACAACAAATAACTTACTTCCTCTTATCAATTGTATCAAGATTCATCCCACAGTGCTGTCTTAAGATGAAATTAAGCTCAGGAAATGATGAAAGCGCATTCCTGAAATATTCCAGGAATAAGAAAAGATAAAATTATCACACATCATCATCTTGTCCATTTTCATTACGATTGCGTCTTGTATTTTTTGAACCGCTTTAGGGAACATATTCTTTATATATCACCGAACCTTGCATACTTCGAAGAATTCACTGATTTCGGAAATCTCAGTTCGAAGTCTTTCATGCAAAAGTATAACATCAACGAATCATGCGACAAATTATATTTAACCTGGAAAAAGAAATTACCTTACAACATCTAGAATTTCTTGTCCTTCGCTATAACCAGAAACCTCTCGTAGTGGCCACATGAAAGTAAGTGGCTCACCACCAAGTGGGCTGGCTAGTTTCAACTGTACCCGTTGTTCTTCGAGGCATACCGGACTTGCCGAAAGTTTTGAACGGCTTGATGACCGTGATGAGGTAGATTCTTCAGAATATTTGGACGTGGACGGATCCGGATCATGGCCCGATGAATCTTTTTCCTCCTCGCTCATTATTTCCGGATTTGTTGTATACTTCCTATTTTCGCTTCAACTGGAGTGATAGCAACAGACTGGAAGTGTTGATCGTGAAATGATATATCCACAAATAGCAGGTAACTCACTTGTTCAGCTAATAAAGTACACATCGTCCACGTGAACTTTCATTTTAAGCAATCTGAAAAATAAAATATGACTTGCGAAACATCCAATAAAATTTTAAGACTGGAAAGTCGCGTCGATCTGCAAAATTCAGATAAAATCCTGCGATCTTCACAAATTTATCCTACACAGGGTTCACGATTTCGGCTGTTAAGACATAGTTTTAACGAAGAGTACTATATTCACTTCTACGATATCATAATTCAAATGATGGATAATGGGCTGCATCTGAAAAAACACGTGACTAGAAAAGCGTGCAATATTGATATCCGAAGTACGATCCGAGAACAGAAATACCAATTAAATCCTAAATGATGTGATTTTGAGTGACACGCTTAGGATCGATTAAGCACAAATGTAGCAACCGAAGAAAATCTGAAAAATCCGCCTCTCCTACATGCTTTAATTGATTATATGACCTAAGCTTGCTGTTCGCCATTAACAAAAGATTTTAAAAACGGAAGTACCTGCTAAGTCTTTAATTCAATATCTTTAACGTATGTCTAAGACTGTAAGATAAAATGAGCTAAGTTCTGCATCAAAAATTCTTCCGATTAATTAACTGGTCAAAGTTAATGGTTACAAACTTTCCCTCATACTCAAACAATGCTTATTACTTAGTAAGCGCACAAATAGCTTCACTTTTCCACTTCTTTCCTCCTAAGAAGATATGAACAGTATGGTTCTACTGAAAGAGTCCAAGAAAATCGTCCATATCAACAGGTCATTCTATACCAAGAAGATTTTCCTGAAAGTAAAATGCATATTCTCGTCATTCGAACCAATTTTCATATCTTTGGGTAGTATTTTTACTTTCCAATACTTTGGCTAGGTTAGTGGTGACAAAGTAAGAAACCGTGCGATGATACGATGACAATGACTGAATGTATTACAAAGATAATAAGTGATAAAGACAAACACTCCTTAGCACTCTTCAAATACTGTAAACACAACATTGTAAAAAGGAAATAATTACAGTCGTTATTAAGAACATAATTCTCCTCGGAAACAAAATGATATAACAAGTTCCTCAATTTTATCACAACAACCTTAAAGATTTTAAAATCGGGTAGAGGATACGATATGAAATAAAGAACGAATATTTACAAAACTTTTGAAATAACTTTTGAGCGGCCGTAAATTTCTTCCAGAACATCCCCAACTTTCTGTTCTCAGGTCTAGAATTTCTCGGAAAACATTTTAGGATAAGATTTTAAAAAAAACGGAAGAATGAAGGAGAAGGTTGAAAATAATCACATATAACTTACCATACATTACAGTAATTATTATTGATCCATTATGTTTGCATTTGTCTCTTTAACCATTATAAGATAACTGGGTAAGAATTAGTTGAAAACTTAAAGTTACTTCACAGTAAGCAACCAAATAATTATGTGAGCGGTTTAGAAAAGAATGATAAATTTGACAGACCGACCTGAAGGTAATCGTGCGGTAATCTTGCATTATTCTTCTGTAGATAACACCCCGCGAAACTTCCCTTATTGCGCTTCTCAATCTTATTGCTGTTCCCCGTGAATTCCTGAAAGAATCAGGATTTCCTGACGCATAAATAAAGCATACATGGATTGATTGTACAAAAGAACACTTCTGGAAATTTTAAACAAATTAGAAAATAAGCCTTAATTTCCCTTTGCAAACATGAAAAACCTCCTTCACTTCACATAAGTTACCTACAAAAAAAAGAAATTGAAGTGTTCTTTGTTCTTTCGAAACATTAAACTTTGCAAGGTTATAGCTCAAAAAAGTTGAAAATTAGGAATGTTAAGAAAAATATCTCAAAGAGAAGATGGAAGAGATGTTGAGAGCAATAAGAGAAAGTAGGAAATGGAGGTGAAAGGTCAATTCATATGAAAATAAATTATCATAGATATGGTGATATGTATATGATCAAAGAACATGTTACACTGATATTTGGCTAAATGAAAATGTCAGAAAAAAGTGGACAAAATTAGTTGTAATTAAAGTAAAAATGCTCCAAGAAAAAAAAAATTTTACTCTAACTGATCGACTTCCTTCTACAGCAAATAGGTAAGTACGAGAGGAGAATCGACGTATGTGTGTGTCTGTCTGTCTTCGTATGTGACAGACAGACAGAGAGGCAAACACACACACACACATACACACACACACACATACACATACAAAGGCAACACACGGAAGTACAGCAATCGATGAAATGCGGTGGGTTTTGCTCTGTTATTTGAGTTGCTCTCTAAGTGTTCATGGCAATGTGATGCATCCATAGGCATACACATACACATACACATATATGTATACACAGACATACACACATACATGTGTATACATAGACATACATACAAACACATACATAGATATACATACACATACTTATATTTGTATACATACACACACACATGCGACATGATGAATATAAGGAGGAGAGAGAGAGGGAGAGGGAAGCACGTACGGAGAGATACGGACAGACACGCATACGTCCGTTTATAAACTGGACAAAGATCGAAGGTTCAGTGGTATTTGAAAATATCCTGTAAAGTATTCCATTAATAGAACTGTTTTATTTAATGGTAATTATTGGGTAACTTTCGTTTTTTTTTAATTTAATTTAAAATTTTAATCTTTGGTCTTTACGTTCAAATCCTTTGAAGGTGTTACTGTTGTTTGTTGTTGTTATTGTTGTTTGCTACTATTGTTACTTATTATTGTTATTGTTGTTTGTTTGTTTGCTACTATTGTTGTTGTTGTTTATTGTTATTATTGTTTATTGCTGTTGTTGTTTGCTATTATTGTTACTGTTGTTTATTATTATTGCTGTTTATTGTTGTTATTGTTGTTTGTTGTTATTGTCACTGTTGTTTATTGTTATTGCTGTTTATTGTTGTTATTGTTGTTTGTTGTTACTTGTTGTTGTTTGTTGTTTATTGTTATTGTTGTTTGTGTCATTGTTATTGTTATAGTTGTTTGTTGTTGTTAAAATTTCACTCATCGAAATATGATGCTAAAATATTTTCCATTAGCATTAGCAAGTTATTGAACCTTTATTGTATCGAATGAGTGGTACTTTACGGATCAATAAATTGACTTCATTTAATGAGAAAATGATTTTCTGGATGGATAGAACTCTCAGTTAATTTGCTTGATAGATGAAGTTATAAGATACCGTAGCCATAATTGTTGCTCAAATGATCTTGTTGGTCAAATGGTCATAATTGTTGCTTAAATCATCTTATTGGTCAAATGATCATAATTTGTTGCTTAAATCATCTTATTGGTCAAATGATCATAATTTGTTGCTTAAATCATCTTATTGGTCAAATGATCATAATTTGTTGCTTAAATCATCTTATTGTTTTTGTTCGTTTTTTTTGTTTTGAAGATTTTTGATATTTCAGGTATTGTTCAAGTAACGAATCGAAAATATCATCACTACGGACGAACATTCGAAAAATTGTTTCGAGAATTTCATGCTATGGAAAGGATTGAAAATTCGTTCGTTTGTTTTAAATTTATTTGAAACATTTAAAATGTTTAAAATAGTGAATAGATGAGAGTTACACAGAATGTATGATGTTTCGCGAAGATTTGTTGTACGATTACAGTAATTATAAGTTAGGTCGTTACTTTTGTCTTATTTGCAGCAGATTAGATCATCACATGATATCTATGAAATTTGTGAATTTGTGATTTTTTTTTCCTTTGAAAGTTATTAATGATTTTCATATGCTTTGCAGCTTTCAGATCGTGCGTATTGTGAGATAAATAAAATAAAAAAAAAAGGAGAAAATTCTTGAAGCAGTCATACATACCATTGATGTGGTGACGCACTAAGAGGAAATTATCACATACGTGAATACCTAATTGATACAATCTACACCAGAGAAAGGATGATTCTTCATTGCATATGTAACTGATTGTATATTACACACAAACGTAAATGCTAAATCATGGATTACATAAACGAGATAAGATATCCAAAGCATGCTTAAGTGCCAAGTCGTATTTTACACAGGTTAAAGATTAGATTGCTTTTTACGTAAGCAGATGGATCATGTGCAATGTTATTGTACGATGAGAGTTAGTTCTCACTGTTTGAGTGGCATTTTTCAAAAAATTAAACTGGTTTTTTGTGAAATAAAGAATATGAAGAATTTGGTTTGAGTCACGTAACATAAACTTGCTCAGTATAGTTAAGAATTTTATTACGTATAATATACGGCCATGTAGGTATTAGCAACATCGTCCTTAGCCATGACCAATGATTAGATCACTCAGCTGAATATTTGGATTATTGGATGCAAAACCATTCATAAGAATAAACAAATATAGGATTAATTTGTTTGTTTCTCTTTGTCACCACTTAGTCGAGATTATGAAAGGTAAGACAAAATGAGTAAATCATTCTTGTAAACAATTATGAACAAACAGTCATAATTTTAAACATTTTCTCCCATAAAAAAAAATAGAAAATAAAAGGAAAAAGAACATTAAGAAAAATTGTTATGATTACTAATTGTTTGATAGGTCGAAAATGTATGAGTCATGTCCTATTTCCTCTATTTGAAATGTTATGAAACAATTCAGTCACACTGTGTACAGTTTATTATTTATTTATTTATTATTATTGTTATTATCATTATCATTATTATTATTATTATTATTATTATTATTATTATTATTATTATTATTATTATTATTATTATTATTATTATTATTATTATTATTATTATTATTATTATTATTATTATTATTATT